AGATTTAGTGGTATCAGAGCTTAGGTTAAATTAAGATTTTGTGATATCAGATTTAGTGGTATCAGAGCTTAGGTTGAAATTAAGAGTTTAGAATTAAATTAAGCACCTCCAGATTGAGTGGCATAAGAGCAGATTGAGTGATATCAGAGCTTAGATTTGATTGAATACCTAGGTTTAATTGAATACCTAGGATTTGTTTTGGACTTGGCTAGCTAGTGGATTTTAGAACCGTGGTGAGACGAGTGATGGGGTATATAAGGGATGATTCTGATTTGTGTTGCTTGAATTTCTAATCCATTTCGATGAGATGGTGATCTGATTGTTCTTGTTTCTTGCCTTCGTACTCTGTGTGAAGTTGTGAAAGTAATCTTGCACGTTATGTTCTTAAGACCTTGTTTTGAACTTGGTCATTTTCTGATTGTCCGCACTTGTTTAGACTTGTTACGTGAATAGAATTTTGTGTGCTCTTTTGCCACAATTGTTAAATCTGGGGAGTTGCAGAGAACTTTTGTTATTGATCCTGTTAGTCTCTACAGCATAGCTGGTGGAGAATTTGTTTTGTTTGTCACATGACCAGTGAAAGATGGGCAACCCTCTACTTTGTAAGAGATTCCAGGCTATTTTAGCAAATGTTGTGTGTTTTTCTAGATGCGTTTTAAGAGCTGGATAACTTGGTAATTCCATTGCTCCTTATCTTCTGAAAGTGTTATAGTGAAGTTTCACTTTTTCCGTTTGGAGCTTTATGATCTTTTCATGTGGCTCATTTTTCTGTATTGGTTAATCAAGAGCAGTGATTATTCAATTGAAATTGTTGTCTTTTTGTGAAGATTGGCAAGCTGTCATAAGTTAAACTCTCTATTGTTGCCAATCTCTACATTCTTGATACTTGGAATTGCTTGAAACTCTTGAAATCCGTCTTGAATCTTTTTGGATATTGCTCTGTACTTGTTCTTGAAATTGAAATCCAGAAATGGATAATGATTATTGAAATCCTCATTATCTGGATACTTGTTTGAAATTGATTCTTGCATTGTTCTTGGAATCTAGTTTGAGTTGTCCTTGGAAACGTTCTTGTTCTGACTCTTGCTCTTGCTCAAATTCTGTATACTGCTCTTGCTCAAATCTTGCATATTCTGCTAGTTCGTGTACCTGATGATCTTCTTGATTTTTGATTTTTGTTCATATGGACACCTCTTTAGGAGGGGTGACGATTATCAGAAAATACTTATATGAGACATCCTCATTCTTGTCTCTTGCAAGTGTTAATCTTTGTATCCTTGATGTCTTAACTTTGGCTTGACTCTAGGATGACTTGATTGTAAATCTACTTAGCCTCCATGAGCTACGAGGTGAAGGGGTAGTCCTTGAAATACTTGATGCCCTAGAGTTTTGTTGCAAGAGAAATGGGTCTTTGATCTAGCTGCTTGGATTTTTATTTGCTCTTTTAATTAGAAGACAGTAATCTTCTAAGCATCTTGATCCCAGCCATTGCTTGTTCTGTTAATTAATTCTAGTACTTGAGGTACTAGATCTTGGCATCCTGGTTATATCTGCTCTTGAATCCGTGTTTTGATTGTCATTATTGGAATCTCTTGTGGGCCTAATTTTTGAAATTCTATTGCTTGTTTCATGGTTAACTCGTCTCTCAATTTTGACTGCTTGGTTAAATTTGATCTTGATTCTTGGTGAATGCCGTTTTGTTGCTGAAATTTTTGAGGCATTCTACCTTGCACTCTTATGTTCCGGTATTCTTCCAAGCATTCATATCTTCCATTGATTTTATTCTGTTGCAATTCTTGCGATTCTTACATGTCTTTTGATGGTCCTAGCTTTTAACTCTTGTTAATTGCTAAAATCTGTTTCTTGATTCCAGTTGCTTTGTTAAACATGACCCTGCTTATGAGTTAACCTTGTTGTGGCAGAATGTATAAGGCATCCATGCACTCGTTCATTCATTCATGATTCGTACATCCATTGGATGCTTATCCATCTTTGATAAGAGTTCAAAATTTTGTTGTGCTCGTCATTAAATCCATGCCATTCTTTGCCAACTTGTCTTGTGATGGGTTCGTAGCGTAACCCCACAATTGTTCTTTTGTGGCTTTGGCAGGATTTATTTCTATTCCTTGTGTTTCTCATATCACCCCAGCCTCTAGTAGCTTGTTTCATGGCAAATCTTGTTAAGTAATTAGTGTTCTGCTTTTAAGATTAGTCGTGATTTGATATCAGAGTGCCGCAGCGGAAGTGTAATAGGCCGTGTTCTGTTCCTAGAAAGTGATGAGGCAATTGTTTTGTCTCGGATTGTGTGAAGCCACTCACCACTTGATATGGTCCTCAATTTGAGTTTTGGGGACAAAACTCCTTTTTAGGAGAGGTGAGTGTAATATCCCAAATTTTCGGGAATATTTAAGTGTAAGTTAAGGATTAAATTGTGAGAAAATATTGTTTTGGGCCTAATAGCCAACATTCCCAAACTCGAGGGACTTAAAAGAGGAGAATTTGGATAAGGATGGCTTATTTCTTTTCTCTCTTTTCCTCTTTCTTCTCCAGCCCGTTTTTGCTCTTGTCTTCTCGCTGCAACCCGAGAGGAAAAAAAGAAAGGGAACCCAGCCAGCCTTTGAGAAACTAGTGAGAAAGCTTGGAGATTTCTCCTTCCTTCTTGCTCTAGAACACACCTAGAACCCAAAAATCTTCCCTCCCCTGCTGGAAAAGCCGGATCTGCCTTGCTCTGCTTCTTCACCGCCGGCTGCTCTTGCCTTGTGGGGGCGAATTGGCTTGGTTTTTTGGTAAGAAATAGCTCGAATTCTCCCTTCTCTAGCTTTGAATTGCCATGGGTTTACTTTAATTACTCTTGTTCCTCCAATTTTTTGGTAAACCCGTGAGCTTTCCCTACAGCTTGCCGCCGGCCTCTTCCCCAACTGCAGCTCCGGTTTTAGCTGGAAAATTCTGGTATGTGACAGCCTTTTTAGGCTTAAATTGTTCATAAAGTTGCTGCTTGTGATGTCCGAATTTGACTAGGAAATGGGGAAATTCCGGTAGCAATTAAGAGGGATTTAAGTGTGTTTTGTTGCTTAATTCATGTGTAAATTGCTTGAGGTGATTGTTGTGATTTTTGG